GAAAGGGCATCCAAACAGCACACCTGAAAGCTTGTTGCCTTAGATGTGCAAGTGGGCGTAATGGGAAGGGTGGGAGAATTGTTAGGCTGAAGACTTGGCTGAGAAGGAAGTCAGTCAGAGACACAGCTGTGATCAAGGCTGGGTGGCTCAGGGTGAATTTGCAGGGAGGGTTCTATGTTCATCTGGGCCATTTCAGGTCCAGGGAGCAGGCAGAGAAAGTCAGAAACAAGCAATGTGTAGCTGTGGCAGTGGTGCAGAAAGCAAAACACATGGATCCAGCTGCCTCACAAAAAAAAAAGGAAAAGAAAGAGAAATGAAAACTAGTTATAGAATACCAGGTTGGAAGGAACGTCAAGAATCATCTGGTCCAACCTTTCTTGTCAAAAGCATGGGAGGGACCCAAGAAAGGAAGGAGAAATCAAACTCTGACAATTGCAGCAGCTTTCCTTCAGAGTTGCCCCAGGGATAACTAAAAGTTGCCATGAATTACAGAGCTAGTTCTTGTGTCCAGACTGAAGTACAACAGACAACAATGACTCACTTAAGGTGCTTATACAATCAATAGTAGAAGCAGCCACAGATGATCCAGTCTTTGATCCTCACTTCATACCCCAAACCTGCTGACTTACTGGGCGAGGCAGTAAGGTTCACTTTTCCTGATAGAAAATTCCACTTTTCACATGCAAAATGAAGCAGTCTGCATTTGCATCTAGTCTTCATGAGGCTGGGTCTGCAGACATATAGTCATTCACAACCCCACCTGTTCCAGCACAGTAATTGCAGCTAGTTTTGTGGATAACAAGTGCAATTTCAAGTGCAGAAACAAGCTTGAAAGAGGATGAAGACCTGATCCTCTGTATGTCTAAAAAAGCTACAGAATAGATGCATTGTTTGCTTTAATAAATTTCACATGGAGATTTCATATCCTCTCTAAAGCGGTTCCACCAAATCCTGTTTTCATCCTTCTCACTTACCAATATCTGTAAAATGACCCTTTGGACACTTTGGTGTTGGGACTTTTGCTGTGACGTCCGAATGAGGATGTTTTGATTCACAAAAATGAAGAATTAAAGATGCTTTTCTCTTGTCATTTTAATTATTTTTCTTATAGTATGATGGAGCCAAATATCTACCAGGGCAAAATTGTTAGCAGCTCCCAGAAATAAGAGAAAATGGCCCAGGCATAACATACTTCATGTGTGGACTCTAGCTGTATTTCAAAAGGAAAGCTAATACATGGAATTACTCCATAAATTATTGGAGTTTGAAATAAACCAATTGCTACAATGGTTAGGAAGGAGTTACATTTTAGAAGTGTTGGTAAAACAGGGATCCTTCTTCCCTGAACTTGAAAGTTCACGTTCACAAATCTGCCTTTTGTAGATTTAGTCTAATCTCTCTTGCCTTGTAAGTACCATGAGAAAACTGAGGTAGGGAACATGTCTTCTGGTTAACATGGCATTAATGCGGAGCTATGTGTGACGATGTCACCCTCTTGTAGTTAGGAAGTGTAAGTGCACTTAACTGCAAGTGTAAGCTCTGTGGTAGCACAACCTTTAGTCACATCAGACTGCCTGAGGCACTCCAGATCTTGGAAGCCAATTAGCCCCAGGCTCAGTTAATACCGGGCTGGGAGTGTAAGGGGATTGCAGACTCTGAAGGCACAAACTGAGACCTGTGACCACAAGTGCAAAGTAAATAGTAAACCATGGACCACAAACCAATTTAAAAACCAAAATCAAAATAAATCTCTGGGTCCCATTACTGTCTCCTCTCTTAGTAGGCAGGGATCAAAAGGAAAGAACCCCTTAGTGCATAGTAGCTCTGGAGAAGAGCTAGACTCTTCCAAACTGACCTACTAGCCTAGTTAAGTCTTTCTATTGTATGATCTCTTGGAATAACTTCCATTTCTAACATAGTTTTGTTAACATGGAGCTTTCCAGACTCATCCAAATCAAAACGAACACTGGTTCTAGACAATTGCTAATTAGACAAGATTTAATACCTTAGGAACCCTTTGCTTTATCCTTGCCTTGCCCATTTTGCTTTTAATTAGAAAAGGCTTCGTGGACAGACTGGTGCCTGCTCAGCCATAATTTTTTATCTTTCTTTGATTAACAATCTCAGCACCATCTGCATTAGCAAGTGTTCATGATTCATTGGCCCTTCTGTTTTCTTGCAGAGGCTTCTGGGAGGTTACTAAGAAACAACATTTCTGTAGGGCTCTGTTATGGTAATATCCAACATACACAAGATTACTCAATTCATTACATTTATTTAGTATGCTTACAACTAAAACTACAAACTCCAATTTCTATGGACAGTTGATTGCTCTTAAATCTAGTTACAACAGTTGTCTGAGCAATCCCAAACTTCTCATGACTTCAGGCAAAGAGCGGCTGTTTCAGCTCTACCATCTCTGTAGCTGAGCAAGCCTTCAGGTTTTGTGGGTGAGTTTGGCTGGCCTCTTCCTACAGAAAACAAATCATCTGCAAACTGGAACTCCAGCCAGTCTTGCTGAATGGCTCACAAAATGTTCACTTAGCCTGCAGCTGGGATTTGTGTTGTCTGAGCCAAGTTTCAAGGGAGGCAGCAAGGGTTTCTGGTATTGGGTGGATGTCAGGCAGGTTATGGAAGTTATGAGCAAGCGCTGATGCCTGTTTCAGACCCAGTGTTCAGAGATGCAGGCTTAGCAAAGCGGAATCCCTGAGAACTGAAATCCTCATGTAAACCCTGAACAATTGCAATTACAGCTCTCACTGCTTTTTCCTCTGGGATGTGGCTGTCAGCTGAGGCCCATTTGTACATAACCTCAGTGCTGCGGATACAGCCAAGGCTTCTGAGACAGAAGTCGTTTCATTTCAGCTTGTGATGATGATGCTTTAGAAACCACAAGGAGAAACTCCTGCTCACAGGTCTCCTTAGCCATCTCTCTGAGTCACTTTCCAAGCTTTTTGGCTTCTCCAGAGACACTGGGCTGCTTTACTAATAGTTTCCATGGCCAGCCAGCCTGAACCACTGTCCGGTCCCCTGCACACAAGGATTAAATGGTGGATTACAGCTCTGGACTCTGATGTATTTGCTCTGCCTGAGCACTGCAAAGCTCTCTGGGCTCTGTTCTCTCCTCTACACCTTGGCCTGGGCCCTCCTTGAAATTGCTTTCATTTTGTCTGCAGGACCAAGGTCCTTCTGGATCTGAAATCATAAGGCATCGAACATCTTAAAGCCATGGGCACACACCGGCCAGGGGAATTTACCGGTTCAGCCCCTGCACAATGAGCCAGGGACTTTGCAGCACAGACTGGCAAGTTGGATGGAAGAAGAGAGCTTGGAAACATTATTAGTCTTAAGGTGAGTCCTGCTTTGTGTCATTGGCCTAGTACTCTGCTCAGGGGAAAAAACAGATTATTCCTGATATAAATCTAGGATCAACAATAAAAGACTCTTCATGGTGGATTTATTAATCCATCTTGCTCCAGGCTTTCTAAACAAAAGAGCTGTGTTTCTTGGCTGGCTGTGAGCGAAAGAGGTTAATACCAAAGACTGCACAAGGTTCTGCAATTAGACAATTTCTTTGTAGCCTAACGTAGGCACCAAGATGACCTCAGAGGCCTTTTTTGCTGTTGCAGAAGCATATTGGACAAGTTTTCTCAGCAGCTGTGCCTTAGTGTTCCATATTAAATGTGCTGATTATAAATTACAACAGCTACCCTAGGATCTTCCTATCACTTTGGATTTCTTCATGGCAACTTTCTTTCTTTTCCCTTGCCTCCAAGGGGTGCTTTGCAAATATGTACCATCCGGTGGGAAAGCAGATGGAGGATAATAAAAGTTTATGTTTTATGGATTCATACAAAGATTATTCTGTCTTTTTTCTTTAAAAATATATTAAAGAAAAAGACTTGCCTCATATTTCTCTTTAGGAAAAGAAGTTTCACACTAACAGGGTAGAGCTCATAGCCGTGGGAAAGGTGGAGGTGTGCATAGCCACAGTATTTGAAGAGACAGAGATATCGGAGCTCATGATGCAGATGTATTGTTATTATTCTTGCTTTGTCACAATTTAGGGTTTTTATTTATATCCTGGTTAACCCCTCCCACCTGTACTACTTCCACCCACACCACAGCAAGTCCAATATATGGTGTATTTCTGCTTGCTGGAGTGAGAAGTTCATAGAGGACATTTGGGGAGAAGGGCTAATTGCAGCCCTCTTGGCTGTCTGGGAGAGGGACACATCAGCTCTGCAAAGTGCCCCAGCTGCTGGGCATCAGTTCATCATTCACTTCAATTTCCTCTGCTGAAAGGCCTAGGCAGGAGGAGCTGTGGCTCAGTTACTTGGGCAAGGAGATGGGGTCTTCTTTGATTGTGTTTTTTTGAGTTGATTCTTCCCTCCTCCCCAAACCCTAGCCCACTTCAGCTGTAAGATGTGTTGCTGGCTTTGATTCCCTTTAAATAACTGTCTCATCTGCATTGCTTATGATGTTTTCCTTTCTCTTTAGTGTTACTGCTGGGAAAGGTTTATGTGTAAGAGCTGTTGGTCTGGTGTGAGCAACTAGTGAAAGCTACATTATGATCAGGTGCATTTATTTTTCCAGTTGCTTTCTGGGGATAGCTGGAGTGTCCATGCTCTCTTAACTGAGGTGTGATTTTTCACTGAGAAGCAGATGCTCTTTGTCATGGAGGAAAAGGAGCACAAGGTCCTCTTCAGCTGTGTAGTTGTACCTATGCCCTGTAATCAGTGGGCTTTATCCCCATTTGCAGTGTGGCCCCTGAAAACTAGAGTGGCGTGATGGATTTTCTTGCAAGAATTTATGGCTCTATTTACTCTTTTAACTACCGGTTACAAGCTCTTAGAAGCGGTCTGTAGATCCCAGGAGTCCTTAAGTAGCAGATTGAAAACATAGTTTGCAATTGTTTGAGAGCTAAGCTCAGAGCCCAAGTATTTTGGCTGGCTTCTGAGCTTTACCTCTTTCTGTTTTCTTCCCTTCTCCCCAGTGCACTCATCCATCTCAAGGGACCTGAAGACTTCCAGCTAAAAAGAGCTGAATGTTTTAACAATGGTATTGTAAGCTTATTGGAACCTGAAACAAAGCAGGAGGTCTGCTACTCTGGCCTTTATGCTTATTGTGAACAAAAGAGCTGTTAGGATGAGGTTAGTGGCACATACCACCTCTGAGTTGGCTGAGATGCAGGGGCACAAAAGCAGCTACTTGATTTTAGGGACAGGCATGGGAATGGGGCTCTCCAATCAGAAAACCATTGAAAAGTCAAACTGCTCTGGCTGAGACTGATGCTGAACCAGTATATTTTAGACCTGCTGTTTATCTGTTGTGTGTATTCTGCTCTAAAGCTGGCATACCACATAGAAGTTAGGAGTAGCTTGTTCACAGTTCAGGGGAAAAAACCCTCAATACTGAATGTTAAGGGCCTTTTTAGACCACAGAAGAAAGGGATGTAACAATTTCCAATGTCTGTGTCTAACATTGATTTCCAATTGGGAAACAAGGTGGATGTTTTTAACAACGGGATGATGAACCCCTGTAGTGGTTGCTTAAGGGATGTGGCAAGATCTCTGTAACTTAAATCCAATACCTCGAGTTCAGATCACTTTCCTGAAGGAGGCAATCCAGCTCAACTAGGAGTTCCTGATCTCAGTAAAGAACTACTGGGTGAATTTTTACATCCACAGGTAAGTGAGAGGTCAGACTGGATGATCATAATGGTCTTGTTTTTTACCTTCAGGGTTGAAATCCTTGAGCATGTACTTTATAAAAGTGAAATCAAAAAGATGAGAAAGGTCTTACAGACAAATATTGCCTGCCAAACCCAGTTATCAGGACTGCAGTTCAAAGGGATCTGGGCCCTTGCTGGGCAAGAAACATTTGACCACTGGTTATGGCAAAGGATGGAAGTGCTAGGAGAAGCAAGAGGGTTGCAAGAAAAGGGTTTCCAAGCTCAGGAAACCTGCATTTTCCTGTGTAGAGAAGACTGGAAAGAAATATGAATTGTCTTAGGCTAAGCTAAAGTCTGTTTCAGAAGAGAACCTCTCAGAAGGGTGCAGGACCCAGCTTAACAGTGTGGCTGAGGGAACAGAAGAAGTAGGAGCTGCAAAAAGGCCATAAGAGTGGCTCTAAGCATGAGTGAGGATGAAATGGCAGATAGGCAGCTAGTGCCACAACTATGACCTGTCTCAAAGCTTGTTTCCTCTCCTACCACTGCACAGGCGTGCATGAAAAAGGTAATCTCACACCTTTAGTGTTTCCCTGCAATCTCTTGTAAGACAGCAAGAAGAGACCTTGCTTTTCCAGTGCAGAAAGTGGGGAGATGGCAGTTCCATTAAGGAGTGTTTTCAGCCAAGCTTGCCTTGTTTCTGATGCACTGCGTGCATACAGGTTATGAATAATTTCTTCCCTAAGAAATGAGCCCAGGTTAAAAATAGCCTCTGCATTTAGCTGCTTGCTGCCTCCTTCCTGCTTGCTGAGGCCGGAGATCCGCTGAAGTGCTGGCAGTCATTTTTAATGTGGAAATGTTTAGAAGCCAAAATTGTCTGGCACCCCTTGCCAATATGGGGAGCTCTGGGGATAGCTATAGGGCAGACAATCTGGTTTTCTCCTTTCCCTGGCCAGGAAGGGGAGGGTGGGAAGTTCTCTCTGGAGACGACTTCTCCATTGCCCATTCCAGCCTTGACCCTCTGCTGAGGTTCTTAACAAAGAACCAATTAACACTTGGTAGTCATGGGATCAGAGCATGGTTTGGGTTGGAAAGGACCTTATGATCATCTAGTCCCAAACCCCCTGCCATAATCACACCTCACACTAGACCATGTTGCCCCAGGCTCTGCCCAGCCTGGCCTTGAACACTGACAAAGATGGAGCATTTACTGCTTCTTTGGGCAACCTGTGTCAGTGCCTCAGCACCCTCACAGTAATTTTGTAATATAGTACCTGGGATTGCATTAAGATAAGATACTTTCAAGACAGACAGACGTCTTAGTCTGGCATATGGGACAGCCCCCTGTGTGTTAACACCAGCCCCCTGTTACTGTCAATGGTGAACTTGTGAAACAAGACATGTGTCTGGAGGGTCTATGGTAACACTTGTCCATCTCTGCTGCTCTGCTGTGGGATTATATCTGCAAGGAGTGGCCAAATCTGGAAGTTTAGGACCTAAACTATGCTGGTGATTTCTCATCAATTCTCAGCTCAGTGTTTGCAGGAGTTTGTCACCAAATGAGAAGCTGGGGCACAGAAAGGTAGTAAGTTTCCCTCATCACCTGCTGACCTGAAGTACTGAGTAATAGCCTCAAATGGCACTGTAAGGAATGAGTGAGGATGACATGGGAGGTGGGCACCTAAAGCCACAACTATTCCTGTAGTTCCTGCAGTTTGAAATGAAATAATCAGGATTAAGCCCAAAGGCATTGATTAAAACTATGCAGCCACACTGGTGAAGAGGATGAAAACAATCAGGATTTTATGCTCTGAACTGTTAATGCAGTGGTTTCTACTCTGACTAATAGAAGCTGTTAGGGTGGGCAGGGTTTAGCAGAACTTTCCTGAAGAAGAGATGGAGACTTCAGGTCTCTGTGCTTAGAGGAAGGGAAGGAAGGGGGAATGTAGGAATATAAAACATCCCCTGACACCTCAGACATCAAAAACTGTGAAGAATGTCCATGGTTGTCATGGTTTTGGGCTTCTTGAGCCTGAAGTTTGTTCCCTCAGTGCAAACCTGAATGTTCTCTGCTCATCAAATGCAGCTATGCCTTTGCTGTGGGAGCATCCCTTCCATGGGTCCTCCAAGTCCTGTCACTTCTCCCCTTCCTCAGCTGCCAGAGCAGAGCGTGTCCTCAGGTCTCAGCCTTTCTTCCTTTTTTTATGGTTACACCTTGTCTGCTCACAGCCTCAGAGATTCATTATAAAAAAATGATCCATTTTCCAGAAATCACAAGGTTCTGTGTCTTCCACTTAATTGTTGTTTTATTTTAATAAGCAATTATGTTTTGAAGGCACCTCAATGCTCCAGGCGTTACCACTTATCACCTGCTGAGTGATTTAACGCTAGTGAAGCACATCCCATTTGCAGGTTGGAATAGGGCCTGGATCCAATAAGCAGACAAATGAGTTCAGAAATACTCCATGTTTGTAACTCACTGCTTATGGTTTCATCTCCTTGTTCTCAGAGAGGAGTCAGTTATGTGCTGGTGGGGTTGGAGGGTTGTCTGTTCCCTTGCTGTTCAGGTAAGAATCAAAGGGCTCATTAAAGGCTGTGAGAGGCAGAAGACTGTTGGCTGTTCTGTACTGTTTCCACTGCCAAGTATCTTCTCTCTCTGCTACAGACCACAATACACTAGCTGCTAAATCAACCCACAGCTTGGGTATCCTTCGTGTGAGAGATGCAAATCACCCCCAGTGTGAGACTGCTGTAGGGGCAGGAAGCCAATGCGTCTCAGCTCTAGAACTGATATGGAAAATAAATATAGGAGCATGAGAGTTGTTGGTTGTAGGAATAAATCCTGAGCATTTCCACAGATTGCAGAATAGACACCTGGGTTATCAAGCACTAGGTGGCTTTCTCCTGGAGCTTTTATGACCTAATTGTTTGGTTTTTGTCCTCCCACAGCTCCTTGACTGCCAGGTGGCACAGTTGGAAGCCTATTTGAAAACAGAAACCCATTACATCTTCTATTTTTTATGCCGCACATTAAAAATAGGACGCAGCAGCCAGGTCTGCATTGAGCTCCTCAGCTGGGAGGCTGAGCAGCCCAGATCATGCGTGCCATGGGGTGTTATTATCAACATTATCTACAGGGTTAGTATGAGTGCCTATGCTCCAAGGTGTGTGTGATGTGATGGTTGGAGGCAGTCTTGGGCATAGTGACCATAAAATGATGGGGTTTTTGATTCTTAGAGAAGTAAAGAAGAAGGGTCAGCAGAACCGCTGCCTGGGGCTTCTAGGTGGCAGACTTGATCTACTTAGGAGACTGGTTGACAGAGTCCCTTAGGAGGCAGTCATGAGAGTCTTGAGACTCTCAAGGCAAGTCAGAGTCTTGAGAGCAAAGGAGTCCAGGTAGGCTGGGGAGGGAGAGCAGGAATGAGGTGATGTGAAAGGGGGAGGGTGGTGTTCTTCCTGCAGGGAGCTGTTTCCTTCCCACTTGCTTCCTGATGAGTCTTTTGGGGGGAGTAAACTTGAGAGTCCTTTTCCATGCTGAAAATGCTTGTTTAAAACTGTAGTTGCTCTAGAGTAAGTAGGGGGTAGAAGTCCCTGGTGAAGTGCTGTTGCCTATAGACATGTCCCCTGAGGTGGACTGAGCTGGTTTGCTTCTGTTCAAAAGCTGCAAGCTCTTGGCCCATGTAGGCAATGCATCCTGGCCACTTTCTTCTCCTCACTGCCCATTTTTCCAGCCAGGTTTTGGAGAAGCACAGCCATTTGTAAGCAGCAGCCATCCTGAATTACATGTCAGGACAGCCTTTGTCATGTTCCCACCTGTGCATCACCAGAACAGGCCCAATAAAAAGCCTCATTTCTCTTTATTTCCTTGTGATTTTACCTCCCCTGTCCATTTGACCTTCTACTGTCATCCTCTATTTCTTTCTGGCCCTATGTCTGCTTTTATTTTGAGAATGAGGATTCCAACATATCTCTCAACAGAGAGAACACTACAGCTAGAAAAGTGTATGTGTCAGTGTCTGAAAGTGTGGAGCTTGCAGAGGCTATTCCAGCCCTCCTTTCCTATCCAAGTTCTAGGCAGTACTTGCTCTATGCCTGTCTCATCCCCTCCCAGCCTCAGGCTCCCTGGAGCTGGGTTAGGATGCCTCAGGATTCTATTTTCCACAGCAGTTCTGTTGTTCTCAGCTTGGATTTGGAGCACAGCTCAGCAATGTTTACTTGTCACATCCCCACCAGGCTGGGGACAGCAGTGCTAATATTGCAACAAATTTAGCAGAGCTCAGTGATAGGATGTGACCCAAATTGCAGAGGGGAAAAAGAAGCAGCTCTGTAAAAAATGAAATTCCTCTGGATGATAAATTCTATTAGAAGCAAATAAATAAAAAAGCCAGGTATACAAGGGGCACATCCTGATTTTACTCTTAGTGTGATTTGAACATAATTTAATGGGGCTCAGCTAAGCAAGCAATGCAGAGACCCTGAGGGATAGGGCTACATTTGCCGAGAAGTCTACATCATGCTTCCACAGCAGTAGGAGAAGAGGTGTGAATGAGATTGTATAGGATCAGATCTCTTTCTCCCTGTTGGAAGCTTAAAGAGATTTGAAATGCACTTGAAATCAAATAGACAAAGCTGTACTTGCAGATTGTGTGGGCAACGTGATTTCTCCTGCCCTTCCCCAGGGCAGAGCTCACTGAAGATGCCCTATGACAGACTTGTGAAGATAGGACTGAGCTCTAAACCAGTGTGCAGGCCTGCTGGGGGATATGATCTGGGGCAAAATGAAGGTAAGAAAATGGTGGAAAACCTCAAAGTTGAGAAGTACCCAGAGTTTCTTGGCTGAAGATGTCCATCTGCTCATGTTGGAGCTAGATGTTTCCAGCCCTAACTAGTCTATGAATCTATGATTATCTGTATTAGAATAGATCTGTCAACCTTTATGGACACATCTGCTGCTTGATGTAGGGTCCACACATTCCTCCCAGCCTAGTTATTTTGTTTCCCTGCAACTAGAAAGCAAGGCTTCTTTGAAACAAGATATTTTTCAGACAGCTGAAAGGATCCCCTTGCTGCCCAGCACTTAGGTTAAGAGTGAAATATTTGCAATTCAATTGGACATGCTTTTAGAGCTGCAGTAAGGAGGAGCAACCGCTATCTAAGAGTGCAGCAATTATATAGGTGTCACTTTATGCTTGAAGAGCCTGAACTTGCACAAGTATGGCATACAGAGATACAGGGCTTGGCCTGACTAGTGATGGTTAAAGATCCATTTCTGAGTTGCATCAGAGCACAGTCCAAAGGCCATTGAAGGATGTGACCCTTTAGAGTTGTAAAATCCAGACACTGGAACTGGAGATGAATCTCAAAGTGATCTTAAAATGGTGACTCCATCCTCCTTCCACTTGTCTTATGGAGGTAAAACAAGTATATTCCCACAAACATTCCCTCTAACATTTCCTCAAGTGTTGTTTTTAACTGTTGCTGTTGAAGTGAGGTGATGTTTTTCATACACAGTCTTGGTGAATGTGCCTGAGGCAATGCTGAAACATAAGTTCTCCAGCTTGTCTGTCTCCACTCTTTCTACACAAGGCTTGGGCTGGGGAATGAGCAACTACTCAGTAGTGTATCCGAGCCACAGGGGAATGGCTGGTGCATCAGGAGGGACACCTTGATAGAAAAGCCATTTGAAGGAATATTAATTATCAGGCAGCTAGTTCTGGACAATTGAATCTCAAATCCAGATGTTCCTGTTCTAAGTGCTTTAGCAAAATGCTGAATTGATTACTATCTTGTGAGTTCTGTGTCTGTGTGTGTGAGTGTGTGATAAAACCCATGACTGCTGAGCCAAAGGGATTGTCTGATGATAGCAACACAGAGCAGCGAGTTTCTCTTCACCTTTTTGAACTTATGCTTTTTTATCAGAAGGAAGCCAGGCCAGGTTTCAGAAATGTTCTTTAATTTATAATCCTTATTGTAGTGTCACGGTGCTGATTAAAGCCACTGAAGGCTCCACTGTACATGGTTGGATTGAAATAAAGAGGCATCTGTTTGGTCTGAGCCTTGCTTAAGGAGAGACTACAAATTTAAGGCCACCTTGATTTCTGTATGTCTATATAACAGGTAGAAGGACAGGGGGAGCAGACTAAAGAAGAAATGAGCCATTGGGATATAATGAAATCAACCTGAGCTTTTAACTCAGGCTCTAATTGAACCAAAGCTGAAGTTGGAATAAGAAATTCTTCCCCCTCCCCGGCCCTTACGCTCCAACCAAGCTCAGAAAGGTCAGCTAGAACAGCTTTATACTTGACATTTTTTGGGGAGTGGGCTCTAAGCACCTCAAGGTAAGGGAAGATGTGTAACAGGTAAAGTGATATTTTGCAATGAGATTATAAGGTCCAAGAGATTTGACTTATATTCCTGCAGCTGGACTGGAAGAGGTTTTGTTGCAGGCCAGATCCATCTTCTGGTGAAATCACAGATGTTCAGTGGAAGCTGGCATCACCCTAATGGAGATGATCCTCACAGAAATGTTTTTTTCATAGTGATTAGTAGTCTGGTGCTGAACTGATCCAATGCAGTTTCTTACTGGGGCAAACACACTGATTTCAATGAAAACATTCTTGGCTCTTGGGTCCCGCTCCTTTTCCATACTACAAAAGCTAAGCTGAAAGTAGTAAAGGAAGAGAATTAGATCCATGCTTCTGAAAATATGAATGCTTTTGCTGAAAATGTGAAAGGTGCTTAATGGGCAAGGCTCCTATACAAAACAGCCAGATTGCTGGGCAATACTAATGTGTTGTGCTGAGAGGGCAATTTTATGTTTTATTTTTACCATTCCTCTGCAGAGTTCCAGGGCATGAAATTCTGCTGTGTTAAAAACCAGTATGAAGACCTCAGCACCTTTCCAACATGACTGTTGGAAAAAGACAGCTTTAACAGGGGAAAGAGATCTGAATTTGATTTGCTGAAATACCCATCTACTTATCCTGTGGCATTCGGTTACGCTGGATGCTTTTGTTCCAGCCGGGGTTGCTCATCTGTGAGCAACAAACTGATGGCACAAGCCTCTGCACACAACCTTCATGCTCCTCCGTCTGTGGCTTAAGAAGGTTCACAGACCACATCATTTGCAGACACTGTCTGGATATGCCAGTCTCTGCCACCATTGATGTGTGCAAAAACAGGTAAATCAGGGTGAAAAGCCAAATTGAGGGCAGCTGTAAAGTAGAGACTTAATAGTTCTAATATGCAGAAATTTAAGAGTTATTAATTTGTTCTTTAAAAAAAATAGTACCTATTTTTAGCTCTCAAAAGAGGTTGTTTTTTAGGGATTAGTGACAGGTTGTGCTGCCAAGGTGTGTAGGCTGATTTTGGAGAAGCATCCAACCAGCTTGAATGGAGGGTGATGTCTTACAGACTTCTGAGAGCAGCACACTAGCCACAGGAGACTTTCTATTAGACTTGGGCTGTAAACACTGTAGCTGAACTGTTCCTCGTTATAGACAGTTCTAATGCAGTCAGCTCAAAGGGGGCAGCAACTGTGAAGGAATCCAAGATGCCTTGGCTCCCCTTCTCAATGATAAACTGAGTATGCTTCCTTCTGAAAGAACTGTATTGGTGTAGTGGTTCAAGCCCAGTCAGCCACGCAGCTGCTCACTCTGCCCCCTTCCTCCCCCCTGTTCCCGGAGGGATGGGGAGGAGAATCAAAAGAATGTAGCTCCCACGAGTTGAGATAAGAACAGTCCAGTAACTAAGGTATAACACAAACCACTACTGCTACCACCAATAATAATAATGATAAGGGAAATAACAAGGGAAGAGAATACAACCACTCACCACCCACAGACCGATACCCCGCTCGACCGAGCAGTGATCTAACCCCTCTGGGTAACTGCCTCCAGTTCTACATCCTGGGCATGACATGCTGTGGTATGGAATACCTCTTTGGCTAGTTTGGGTAAGGTGTCCTGCCTCTGCTTCCTTCCGGCTTCCCCTCCTCCCTGGCAGAGCATGAGGCTCAGAAAGTCCTTGGTCAGAGTAAACATTACTGAGCAGCAACTAAAAACATTGGTGTTATCAGCCATGTTCCCAGGCTGAAAGTCAAAAACACAGCACTGCACCAGCTACTAAGGAGAAAAATGACTGCTACTGCTGAACCCAGGACAATTGGATAAGGTAAGGCATCCTGGCAGCAGGACTTATGGACCTAACCTTCATCCTATTTGTGAACAAAATATGATAAAGGAATATGGGAATTTTTTCTTGTCTGCATAAAGCTACCTGATCCCATTTTAAATACCATTGATCCTCAACAGAAATTGTAACCTTCTGGGCCATGAATCGACTGGCAAGAGCTATGCTCTGACATAGCTCACATGGTACTAAAATCCAAATACCCAGAATATCACAGACTCAGATTTGGGCATCAAATCTGAGCCTCTGGCAGGGAGATACCAAATCCTAGGCTCAACCTTTTCTAGTTAGTTAGCTTCCAAGCTCAAAATGACAGACTGTTCCTGCAGCTAACAAACTGCTGCTCCAAGAGAAGAGATCAGTGGGAACAGTTGGGCATTGATGAGCAAAGGCTGAGAGTCCGCTTCATGATGTTTAGGGCTTTGTAATAATAATTAGATCCTAAAATGTGTCAGTTCTGCATGAGACAAATCATTGGCGCAGGCCAGGAGCATGTTTCCATGGGAGTGTGAGCATGTGTATCTGATTTGCGCAAGAGCTTGCTAATGCAGCTGTGACCCTGCATAGCCATATCCGAGTTTGTAGGCTACAGGAGTGGGATGGAAATGATGAGAGAAGGAGGGACTCTTGCTACCTCCTAATTTCCACTGCCTTCACCGCTGCTAGCTTTCATAAAGCTTTCCCCCCACAGAGCTGCAGCAAGTGTTACTGCTGTAAAGTCAGTGAGGGGCACAGCTGGGGTACAAGGGTAGTCAAATAACAGCTTTCTTTTCCCATCAGAATAGCTGTTGGATACAAATTGGCATGAGTGTTTTGAGAGAACAAAAGTATTATGACTGTATTGTTTCTGCCTCTTGTCTCAAAGATTTTCATGCTCTGAGGAGGGATGAGGCTGTTCATCCTAGGGAAGAGGAGGTGCTGAGGTGACCATGAGTGACTACAGAAGCAGGGAAAGAAGGCATGGTCACATGAAGTAGTTTTGCTCATCTGAACCATTGGGGTGTTCTGAAGCCATGCTCTTTCTGTGCATCCATATCACCCAGGGGCACCATGGCAAAGCAACCTCCGCTGGTCATATCTGGCTTCCACAGACCAGTAACAACCAGGGAAGTTTCCCCTGACTCCCTGACTTCTACTTTAAAATGAATTCCATGTCGTGTGGAGGGAACCTACAAAGCCAGAGAGGGGGAGATGTGTTTCCTTTCTGTGTCTTGGCTGGGTTGCAAAGCATGTAATCTTGTTCTGTCATGCAAAATTCCCTCTTTTATTTGTGAGGGGTACCTTCTTTGCTGGCATGCCAACTGCTCTGAGGGCTGTGCTGGTCTCTACTGAGACCATGAGTTTCTAATACTGGAGAGGGCTGCATTTCAAGGATGAAACCAAGTAATTCCTCTGTCAGTTCATTGTAAGATGTCTCTGGCTAAAAGCCTGGGAAACAATTTGCTTATGACCTACCGTTTGATGACAGTGGGCTGTTTGATGCTGCAGCAGTCTCCACCCTCCCCATGCTTGGCTTTGACTGATATAGCTCAGTTAAGAGAGAAAAGAAAGTATAATCTACATTGCTGCTGCTGGCAAAGGCCAAAGCGCTGCATGGGGCCCCCACAGAGGGACAAGAATCTATCTGTTGAGATTGGGCCTGGTTTGATTCTTCTTATAAAGCATCTTGGCAGCTGTCTAGATCTGACAGGTTGATAATAAGACTTATCCTCAATGCAAAAGGGAAAGTAATTTACATTGGCTTCACACCTCTGGCAAGCAGGAAAGATCCTGCCCTACATTAGTGTGAATGGGGAGCAGACGTGAGACTGTGAGCAGGCAGCACTGGGGGGGCAGCAGCAAGGTTTGATCTGTGCTTGAGCAAGCACAAGGAAATGCCATTTGGAAAACGACAACGGGTGAGAGAGCTGGGCTTGGAATCAGCATTCTGTCCATGGCAGCCGTTCGGAGCAGCTTTCCAGCCAAATCCTGAAGGATCACTGTCTTAGAAGGAGCAGCAGTGCTACCTGATTTCATTTTGCTCCATTTAGCCCAGCGCTTCAGCTGATAGACTGCTTCTCTCCCTTATTACAGACACATCAGCACCAAGCTGCCCTGAGATTTATTTTTGTGTGTGTCATTGTGTTGATAAGCAGCTGACAGCCACTGGGGAAGGACTGCAGCACTCACTGTGTGGAGTAGGTCTCTCCAAGAAGTCCAGGAATGCAATTACCCAGCCTCTAGCTCTCCCGCTACCTCAGCAGACAGAACCATCTCCAGAAGAGCTGGCAAGCCAAGTCTTAACCTGTATTATGCTCCACTTTAAACCTGCTGTCACACTAGTTCTAGTTCTAAGTTTAGTGACTCTTGTAAGCTTTCTGCTGGCCTCACCACCTTCCAAAGGAGCAACCCAAGGCAGCCTCTCTATCCTTTATATACATAGAGTACAGCGTCAAGGGAGGTAATGGTCCTGGGATGTACGTTGAAACCCTCAGATGAAGGCATGCAAGAACAGTGCCATGTCCTTCGTGGAAATGTAATTTAGGAATCTTTGCTCTTCATAACCCACCAGCTTTAAAGGCCTCTGCCCTCCCTGCCAAAACTGAGCTGTGAAGTGGTGGGGAGGGGAGAACTGGAATTATGTCAAAACAAACAGAAGTGGGTGGGTGGTGAAAGCATTCACTTCACTGTTCCCTGACCACTGGGATCATGCAGAGGATCTTTATCAGCTGAAGGCACATGCTGGGCCCCAGGGATCTTTCTCTTGGAGCAGCCTCTGTTGCAAATGTGGTTTTGGAGACTTCATTCTTCAAAATGAGGTCTTCAGTCTATTCAACCTGGGCAGCGCAGGTTGGAACACTCAGAGCTTTGCAATGCCCCAGCCAATGTTTGTGGATGTGGAAAGGAGGACACCTGAGTGCAGAGAGCTACCAAAGACTGGCAGGAAGCAGAGCAGAAGAGGACCTTGCACTGTTTGGACACAGTGACCATCAGGTAAGTTTGTTTTCCAACCCCTTATTTAATCCATCTTTAACAGAATTGTGTTAAAGTTTATGTTAGTGTATTCCAGCTTTGGACACTGTTATGCAGCTGCTTCAAGGAAAGTGGAGGTCCTACCTCAAGGTTGTGGCTGGTTTAGGGTCTTGGCAGGGGAGAGTAGGGCCATAGAGCAGGGTAGGTGTAGGTAGCTGGAGACAAGGTCTGAAAGACAGGTCTTATGGAATGTCATTGGATGATGTGGTAGAAGATTGCTCAGGAGAAGACACATGATCCCTTGTGAGGGAAGCAGTCTCTAAAAATCAGGAATACAAGAACTTTACATGAATATTAGTTGGAAGAGCAGTGTAAGTAGGTGTGAAGATTGCATCTGTATCCTAGCTGAGCTGTGCTGGAGGGCACTGTACTTCTTGCAGTGGGTATGTTGTATCTTTGTTGTCTGGAGATTTCCAACACTGCCTGTCATAGAGGCAGGTAAATATGGGACCTTGCTAGAAAGGCTCAGCACTTAACAACAGTCTTTACAAATGAGAGATCTTGCCTGAAAGCAAAAGAGATGAAATTAAGACAAGTGCAAAGCACTCCTCTTAGGCAGGCAAAGCAGAATACACAAACACAAAACAGGGAATACTCAATGAGGTAGGAGCACGGCAGGAGAGGACTGGGGTTGCACTGGTTCACAAGTAGAATATGAATCAACTGCTGCGGCAAAACAACTCATTGTATCCAATACTGTATTAACAAGAGTGCTCTTTGCCAGATATGTGAGACAATTATTACAACCTGCTTGGGGCTGGCAGAGCTTCAGCCGAGTGTGAGTGTCCGGAACTGATGTGAAACTTTATCTACACCCATTAAGGAATTTGGAGAGAGATTCCGTTGGGGGGGAAATAAAACAGACAGAACAAGTGAATGATAAGAGGTTAGACAAACAAGTCCTGTCACCAAAGATTGAAGGCATTGCCTTTGTTCATTTTGGAAGAAGAATGCTGGAAATGGGATGCAGTCAGTCTTCCTACACATATATAGTACCTATAAAAAGTCTCATGATGAGCTGTTTTCCATGGTCACTGGTGTAAGAAAAGGAAAGTGCTTGAATTCATAGTGAAGATGATTTAATGTATTAGGAAAACCTTCTAATCTCTAGAGGGGTAAAACACTGAAGTAGGCTGTCTAGGGAAGATGTGGCATCTCCTTAATGAATTTTAGGCATGGGCTTGACAAACAGCTATTAGGACAAATAGGTATTTAAGTATATTTGATCCTGCCTCTGATGATCTCATGAAATGCCTTTCCGCCATACGTATCTATAATTAAGCACAATACAAAAACACAGTCTCTTCCTTGAG